GTTCAAGGAATTGATATTTTGTCCTACCTTTTCCTGGTTTGAAGAGGGGATTTCCAAGGTACATTGCTTCATTATCTATCTTTCGCATGTGGAGCTCATCCATACAAAACTTTTTCATGCCCATAGAAGTATTTTTAGAAAAAAAGACAGACGACTTTTGATGATTTAAGCTTTAACTTGACCACGAGCAATAAAGTTCAATGCATTCCTTCAGGGCTCTCATTTGATGTTTAGTGGCTCCGACAAATAACAAGTCATCGGCATACATAAGGTCAGTTAAAGGTGGACTTTCTCGCCCTACTCTTATACCTGCAATAATCTTTAGATCCTCTACTCTAGATAGAATTCTAGGAAGAAGTTCAGTATAAATCACAAACAGGTATGGCGAGATAGGGTCACCTTGTCGGAGTCCCTTCTGAGGTTTAAAACTTCCCGCAAGTCTACCATTGATGAGAAGAGAATAATGAATCGACGAAATACATATTTTTATGAGCCTGCAAAAATGAACCGAGAATCCCAGACTACAGAATATTGTGTCAATCAAGTATATTCCAATCAACTCTATCATAAGCTTTTGACATATCAACCTTGACTCTTATGAATGGACTCCCCTTTCTTTTCTTCCTCATGGAGTGTAAGATTTCTTGTGCAATTACAGAATTCTCTTGTATGCTTCTACCCGGAACAAAAGCCGATTGTTGAGGCGAGATAATACAACTGAGGTACCCTTTCAACCTATTTGCCAACAACTTAGAGATAAGTTTATAGCTCACATTACATAGACTTACGGGCCGAAATTGGTTAAAGGTGTGTGCATTATGAGTTTTTGGGATGAGTACTATGAGATAATACATTCAGTTGAACTTGACACAACATAACCGAGTCCTCCTTGACTCTACCTCTAAACAAAGAGCAAAATTCAACTAGCAAGCGGCCGTCCTTGGCATTGGTGAGCATGAAGTAGGCCCACTCCAGCAACTGCTCATTAGGGAACTTGAACTTCATGAGGCCAAGTTGATCGACGGAGAAAATAGAGCTCAAGAGGACACCATTGGGGGCAAAGGGGCCGAAAACCCGAGAGGTATGGTCGGGGTCATTGGAGTCGAGGATAATGTCGATCCAGCCGTGGTAGGGAAGGAAACGGGGTGTCACTGAAGCCAAAGAGCTTGCACACGAGGGAAGGGAAGGCAAGGGAGAAGTGATGCGTGCGTGGGCAAGTGATTCCGAAATTGGGGATTTCCAAAGTTAAGTGTATTAATCGGTGTGTTGAGATGGATGGAATAATGAAGTGTAGAGGTTCACCACCGAAGCATAAAGGCAAAAGCCACTAGCCAAGGATAAGAACCGGGATAGATGGAAGCTCACCACCAAGGCATGAAGGATTGCCCTACCGGCCAAGAATAAAGAATTGTTTGATTCACCATCAAGGAACTTGGATAAAGAATTGGATAAATAATTCAACTCACGTAGAGGAATTCTTATATATTCATTAAAGCTGCATCACAATGGAGAACTCTACTCTATTTATAGAGGTACCGCGACATAGGAAATAGACAAGAGACATGGGAATTACCCAAACATTTAAGACATAGGAACTAGAAAGCCTTCAAAGACCTAGTAACTAGAAAATGCATTTAACACTCATAGTAACTACAAAATGCAACAAAGACGTGGAGACTTGAAATCTTAACTCTTTAACCTTGTGGTTGATCTTCTAAAATTCGTCCAATAGCCTTGACCAGAAAATAATAATCTCAGAAATTCAACAAATAACAAAGAAAATTGCTTAGAACATCCTCTCGTCCATATGTTATTAATTAATGTTGAAATCGGCAACTATACTAGTGAATCGGTAACATAATACTTGATCGGCAAGGGAAGAATTGAAAACTCCTTAATCAGTAACATGGTTGATAGTCTCATTATCGACAACTTCATTCTTAACCTATCGAAGCAAGTTATGACCAAATTCTGCCTTAGCTTGAATGAATATCAATTGTGCAGAATTCGTTGATGGAATTAAGTCGGATACTCCGGTATCATCCTCCCCGGGATGTCTGAGATTTGTCCTCAAATTTGAAAAGTCTTCATCCTTCATATAAGGAGAATGGTCTCCCACATTAAAAGTTGGCGAAACTCTAAACTCTCTAGGAAGATCAATTTTGTATGCATTGTCACTGATTCTCTCGAGAACTTTAAATGGGCCATCAACTCTAGGTATGAGCTTATTCTTCCGTCGAGATGGAAATCTCTCCTTTTTCAAATGAATCCATACAAGATCACTAGGTTGAAAATGAGCCTTCTTTGGATGATGATTAGCTTTCTTCTTGTAAGACTCGTTGGCCTTCTCGATCTTGGATCGGATTTGCTCATGAAGCTTCTTCATCAATTCAGCTTTTTCTTTGCCGTTAAAGTTCACTTGTGAGTTGGATGGAATTGGAATTAAATTAATCAGTGTGAGAGGATTAATTCCATACACAATTTCAAAAGGTGATCAACCAGTGATGAACTTAGTGATCAATTGTGAGCAAACTTAGCATGTGCAAGCTTCAATTCCTAATCTTTCAAAGATTTACTAACCATCCCTCGAAGAAGAGTGGTGAGGGAGTGATTGGTTACCTTCGTTTGACCATCAATTTGAGGATGACAAGTGGTGCTGAATAAGAGTATGGTACTAATCATCCTCAATAGTACTTTTTAGAAATAGCTCAAGAACTTAGAATCACGATCCAAGATTATGGTTTTCGATACTCCATGAAAGCAAATGATCTCCTTAAAATATAGCTCAACCATATGAGATGCATCTTGTGACGTGGAATGAAATGAGCCATTTTAGAAAACTGATCAACGACCACCATGATGGCATATTTTTCCCCATTGAGTTCTCGGAAGAGGCACAATAAAATCGGCAAAAGAACACTACAAGTGCCATAACTTGTGTACGGCGCTCACTTTGGTGCCATAAGTTTTTTTTGGATCACTTTAGTGCTAAAATTTTTGAAAAACGATCACTTAAGTGCTAAAATTTTTGAAAAACGATCACTTAAGTGCCAACTCCGGTGCCGTACACAATTTTTCGCCGGAAATCCGACGTGGCATTTTTTTTATTAATTTTTGAAGCTGACGTGGCTCGCCGGAGATTGGCACTTAAGTGATCGTTTTTCAAAAATTTTAGCACTTCAATGATCGTTTTTAAAAAATTTTAGCACTTAAGTGATCGTTTTTCAAAAATTTTAGCACTGAAGTGATCCAAAAAAAACTTATGACACTTAAGTGATCGTTTTTCCTCCGACTTGGCACCAAAGTGATCCGAAAAAAAGTTATGGCACCAAAGTGATCTCCGTACAGAAGTTATGGCATTTATAGTGTCCTTTTGCCCAATAAAATCCAAACTCACATCTTCTCATGGCTGTAATGGAATCGGAAGTGGAGTATAAAGTCTTTAATGAAAATGACTTTTTGCTCTTTGACAAGTTGCACGCCTTGAGATGATAGCACGTACATCTCCATTCATTTTTGGCCAATAAAAAGGCTATTGAAGAACTTCAAGAGTTTTGTTAACGTCAAAGTAATCTGCCAATCCTCCACCATGTGTTTCTCGAATCAATAACTCTCTAAATGAACTATTTGGCACACATAATCGATTTCCTTTAAAAAGAAACTCATCCTGCATGGAATAAATACCTTGAACTCTATGTTTACAGTTGTCGACAATGGAAGAAAAATCCAAGTCTTCAATATATAGTTCCTTCATCGATTGGAAACCAAGAATCCTAGAGTCCAAAACAAAAAGCATCGAATATCTCCTCAATAAAGGATCCGCTACAATGCTAGTGTGGCCAAGTTTATATTTTGAGACAAAAGTAAAAGGATTGAAGAAATTCTACCCATTTAGCATATCTCGAATTGAGTTTGTATTGGCCGCTAATAAACTTGAGAGCCTCATGATCATAATGAAAAACAAACTATTTTGGCTTCAAATAATGACTTCAATGATAGAGAGCTCTTGCGATGGCGTAGAACTCTTTATCATAAGTTGAATAGTTCTTTTTTAAGTCTATCAACTTCTCACCGAAAAATGACAAAGGCTTTTGGGCTTTGACAAGAACAGCTCCAATGCCAACTCCACTTGTATCACATTCAATTTCAAATAGTTTTATCAAAATCAGGAAGCGCAAGAATAAAAGACTTTCAAGGTTTCCATTTATTATTTCAAAAGCCTCGTGGGTAGCCTTTGTCCATTCAAAGGCTATTGAAAGGCTATGCTACTCTTAAAACCGTTTAGATCCGCACTTACTTTTGGGGCAAGAAAAGGGAAATTCAAATTTCATCATTGTATCAGTTCTTTTGATGATACTCTCAATTGCGCCCACCCACTTGATGGAGTCAATAGGACATACTTTCATTTGCATCTAACAAAAGGGAGACGCGTTTCTTTTAAGTGCTAAATTCAGGACGTCATCAAAGTGAGATCATCAAATGTCGACCTATGTTGAATTCATCGCTGCCAAAGATCACATCTTAGGTTATCGGGGCCAGAAAATTCAACCCTAATGGTGACGCAAGGACTATGACGCCCGTGAGACATTACACTCACATGCTTAATTATCTCCACTTTCAAACCCTACTCCAAATCCTCCTAAGATCTTATACCCTTTTAAAGAATCCAAACACCTTTTTATTACCTACGCATTAGAGACGACATAAGACAAAACGCAATCGCGTGACCTCACACGAAATCTTGCAGTAAAGAACATAACCCACGTTGAATTCGGCAATGCTATTACAAGCCCACCTCTATAATATTTATATATGCACCATGCTTTTTAACTCCAAGATGCGGTAAGCTAATGACAAGGTTAGCAAGATGACAGCAACATCGTTAGTCCCCGATGACGTCACCCCTCCAGCAGATTGCCAAAGACGAATTCCTAAAGTAATGAAGTTAAACTAAACCCTGTGGGCCTGAAGCTGAAAGCCATCGAACCAGATCATCCATGCCTGAACTAAACTCTTTCGATTGCATCACCCCAAACTGTCTCTTTCGCACGTTGAAAATTTCCCGAAAATCACAAGAATATTTAACAATTCTTCGATCCCTTTTGTTGATGTCAAACTTCGGATCGGCCCAATGGATTCCAGGCTCTCCCGAGCTCGCTATAAATTTGGTGAGAACGGTGGACGGGAGGGTCGCCGAGCATGGACGAAGACCCCAAAGGCAAGGCTAAAGAGAGAATGGGAGAGGAAGGAGCAGCAGGAGGGAGCGAGGTGAAGTACAGGGGAGTGAGGCGGAGGCCGTGGGGCAAGTACGCAGCGGAGATCCGCGACTCCTCAAGGCAGGGGGCCCGCGTCTGGCTCGGAACCTTCAACACTGCCGAGGAGGCCGCGAGGGCGTACGACCGGGCCGCCTACGTGATGAGGGGCCTCCGCGCCATCCTCAATTTCCCCGACGAGTATCCCTCGGCCGTCGGCGGAGATTCCTCTGCTGCGACATCGCCGGCCATGTCCTCGGGATCGGAGGCACCGTCCATGGCCCTCGACAGCGGCGGGGGGGATAGGCCGGCGGAGCAGGGGAGGGAGGTATTCGAGATCGAGTGCCTAGGCGACGAGGTGTTGGAAGCTCTGCTCGATATCTCCGACAAATCGAAAGGTAAGTGAACTCCGAGCAAGTTGTATGTGGCCGATCACAGTATACGATTCAGCAAATCGAATGACTTAAGGAATGCGATCGATGTAAATTTGGTTGTGGAAGATGATCTGAGTGAGTTGGGCAGTATGGCCTGTTTTTGCCATTTTTCTGATGCAACTCTGATGCTCTGTTTTTCCTTTCTTCTTCCCTCATCCTTTCTGCGGTCAACGGTTCTCACGCCGAGTTGGCCTTTGACTTTCTGTACACACCAAAGGCTTTCCTAAACTTTTGAGGCCAGGATTTTACCAATTCGGGAGTTTGATTCATTTGAACGAACGAGATCGAACGTCTAACGGTCTAACTCGCGACGCCAAACTATATCTCGAGAAGCATCGTCATGAGATCGAGTTTATCCGTCGACCGACCGCCCTTAATTTTGCGATTTCGTCGCGAAGGAGTAGGCCGTGGCGACGTGGAAGAGATCGATTAAGCGGGTCGGGCCGGGACATTCAACCTTATTTAAATAGGAAGGAAAAGGGCAAGACGGGTCACGGTCATGCCACGCAAATTTGTAAAGGAGAAAGGAGCGAAACCGCTTACTAAAGACCGGAGAATATTCTCCCGGTCAACATCAAGAAAATTTTGTCAAAGTTCTTCTCGGTTACCTTTTTCATCATGTCCTATTAAAAAAAGAGGAACCCCATTAATTTTGGTATATATTAAAGTTTTGATTCAGCTTCAAAGCCCCAAAATCACTAAAAGAAATTAAAATAAATCAACATTTTAATTGCACATTAAAAAAATTGCAAAATCCTAGCTCAGCCTGGTTTTACATTAAAAAAAATAAACATTTTAATCGGACCGGACCGGATTGGAAGCAGCAGTTTCCGTGGGAACCAGTTCGGTTCCAATTTACTAGAATCGATGAGTACCGGTCCAATTCCTGGTTTTAGGTGTCAAACCGCCCACCTGGACCGGACTAGTAATATACAAATATGTATATACATATATATAATTTTTAAGAAAAACTTCGAAAAAAAAAGAAAACATTTTAAGAAAAATGAAAACCCTAAAATCCTTAATCTAAAGCTTAATGCACATCAACTAAGTGTTCGTCTTGTTTCACTCTCATCAACTAAGTATTCGTCTCGTCTCGTCTCAATCTCACTTTGTCTAAGTCGTCTATCTATCTCTCATTCATGTTCTCGACTCTTAAGTTCATTATCTATCGACTCGCGGCCTCGACTCTTAACTCCCATCAATTCACGGCAGCGCCTTCGGCTGTTCATCGCCTTCCTTTCTTATTCTCGGTCACCTCCATTTGCGTGAAGCTTGGTGGGACCGGTTCCATGGACCCACTCGAGAACCGGACCGGACCGGCGGTCCAGTTCTCGGGTGAATCCATGGAACCAACGGGCGATTTCCAGTTCTAATTTTTCAGAACCTGTCCTTAGCGGACGATTCCCGGTTCCATTGGTGGGAACCGTTCACCCGGACCATGCTCACCCTTAACATCGACCTGTCCTCAAATATTGAGAAGCTCTTCCAGAATAGATTACTACGAAACGATTTTGGAAACTGTATCTTGGCATTCAACATTAGAAACCTTAGACATATTGCAATAGTTTATTGGAATGAGATAGCTGTAGCAGCCCAGAAGTCTGTGTTCGGGTGAATACAGCTGCTTAAATTGAGGGCAAGTACCCAGAGAAGTACCTGAGAAAGATACAGGTATCATACGAGCCATTTGCTCCACTGATACTGATCGAAGTTGCAGTACAAATTACAGTATTGCCTTGTCATGTTAAGCGCCCGCTGTGACAATGCAGTCTTCAAGATTGCCAAATGTAATTTATTCAAGTATATGCACGTACCCTGCAAAGGAAACCGGCGCGATCTCGTTCCTCAGGTGAAAATTCTCACCGAAGAAGACGAACGAAACGAGAAACGAAAAAATTTCTTACCCTGAAACATCGGAAACCCTGAATATGCACTCGCCTACCCGCATTTACCCTACACGTCGCTGTGCGACTTCAGTAGTTCGTCCAACAACTTATCGTCCAGATACTCCAACTCAATCACATCTCTGGATGGCTCGGCGGGAGCTGACACATCGGATGATGACGGACTTGCTGAAGAGAACGATGGCGACGACGACGACGACAGCGACAGGGACGTGGAGAAAGAACTGCTGTGCCCGGAGACATTGTAGTCATTCTGCGCATAGTATTGTTGCTCGTTGGGGAAGTTGAGGATGGCCAAATGGCCCCGGAAGGCGAAGGCGGCCTGGTCATAGGCTCGGGCGGCCTCCTCCGCTGTATCAAAGGTCCCAAGCCAGAGGCGGGCGCCGTTCTTCGAGGGGTCCCGGATCTCGGCCGCGAACTTGCCCCAAGGGCGCCTCCGGATCCCACGGTACAGGGGCGGATTGCATCGCAACCGCGATCCCCTCTTGTTCCTGGTCTCTTGGTTGTTCTCATTGCTCTGATTCCCTCTTGAAGAAGACCCTTCCATGGCCAAGTGAGTTATATCAAGTGGGGAAGTGAAGGGAAGGGTATGAGGATCAGCGTGCAAGCACTTTTTGGTAAACTTTAGGAATATATATATCAAATTTGACGGCAAGGCAACAAATGATGGAGGTTGACGGGCATACGTAGCGTCAGACAAGATCGGAGGCGTTGAAAAGGCGAGGGAGGTCGTACCTGACGGCGGGGGGTTTGTGTTGTTTTTTTATGTGTTTCTGTGAGAAAGTCCCCCGGCGTCTTCTGGAATTCTGATTCGACAAGCCACCCCAAAGCGACGGCTTTACTTTTTGCTATTTCGGAGAGGGACGGAACTCAGATGCGTGTGCATTAATGTGTGCATGACTCGGGGGATGAGGTAAATATGCGTGTAATGATTGAATTAGGCATGCCTCGTACGTACACGTGGGACTTATTGGCGCAGTCCCGACCATGATTACTGAAAACACAATTTCAATCTGGTCTTCCCATCAAGTTTAGGGTTCGGATTCGACCCGTAACTTTTTTAAATAATAAATAATAAATATGTTAATCAAAATTTAGCTGTCAATAGATAGAGTATAAGAGAATGAGAGTTGATAAATCAGAAAAAATATTGGGTGGAGATCTGATTCTACCGTGGCAAAAAAAGAGCACCTCTTCGTGCGACACGTGTCGAGGGGGCCCCACCCGGTCAGACCTCTAATTTTCAAAATAAAGTCCTCTCGCGCCCCAACCTCACTCTCTCCTCCTGGATAACAAAGCGCTCGCGCCACCCCAAAACACCTCTCTCTCTCTCTCCTCCCGGATCTACTCTCAGAACTTGCGCTCCATCCGACGCCGATGCCGATGCCTCCGACGCCTCCGACGCCGACGCCGACGCCGACGCCGACGCCGACGCCTCGACTCTACGTGCTCGCGCTCCCAACCTCTCTCTCCTCCCAGACTCGACGCCTCCGACGCCGACGCCTTCTGCACTCTGAGAACTCGCGCTCCCTCCGACGCGACGCCTTCGACGCCGCCTCCAACGCCGACGACGAAGGCCCACGGCCCTAGCCCTAGCTGACGCCAACGTCGACGACGAAGCCCGACGCCCTAGCCGCTGACCTAGGCCTAGCCGACGCCGACGCCGACGCGGTCGCCCTAGCCCTAGTCGACGCCTCCGTGTCCGCCTCGACGCCTTGCAGTTGTCACCGCCGTCCGACGAAGCTGTACCATGCCCCGCTCCATCCTAGCTTCGAGAGGTACAGATTTGAACTGATTCAGCGTTTTATTCCCGTGTGCATACTGCGGATGCTGTTCAAAATGACCTGTTTGAAAGGCATTTTGAATCGTGTTAGCATTGAGTATTCCTTTAAAGGGTGACATTTTATTCGACTTTCAATAAAACGTTTCTCTCTGCGTCTGCTGACCAATTGTGATTGTTGTGACTACTGTTGCTATTGCTGCTGTATTCCGTCTGCCCAATTTCTAGCATGGTATTGTTATCTGCATAAAAAAAGTAAAGGAGGAAGCAGAGGTAAGGAGCTTAGTCGGGTGTTTATGATGTAGTTACTTTGATTTTTTAGGAGATTGCTTCTCGTCTGGGACTTCTTCCAGGTTCAGTGTGGCATTTTGGCATAAATGCCGATGTTAATAGCGTATTGTCTATGGCAGACATTGTTCTTTATGGTTCTGCACTTTTATTATAAGTTACAGTTTAGGCTCCTCAAATTGCTTGAGCCATCCTCTTTACTTCACAGCTCTTCATAATATGATTGACAGAGCAATTAGTATAGTCACTCTAGTGAAGAATTTGATTTCCAATTAACATTTGTGACAAACAAAGAGCGAGATTGTTCTGACCAGCTGCTTCCTGCATATTATCAAGTAGCCTTTGACGGGGTGCTTTATTTGCTGATGTTAATTGCGAGCCTAACAAAATGTCTAGATATTTGGGGCATATATTTGCACAAATGTGGCATGAGACTTGATACTTGTTGTAATTCGTTTTGCACATTTCATCTGATATTTTGTTGTGAAATCGTGTTGGACTGTTCTCTATTGAACAACTGCTTCCGTTCTTACATTTAGCATGCGGTCGAATTATTCATTGCTCCTTTGCTTTTGAAATCGTGATGTGAAGTGTAGAATTACAGAGTATTCATTACACTTGTACCCTCTATATCAGAAGTCATGATATTTGAGTTTGTCTTCTAATGCTCTTGAGGAGAGGAAAGATTAATTGCTGTACGGAGAACTTAAACATGGCTGTTGTTAATTTAGTAGAGGTAGTTGGGAAGTCTGTATTGATTCTTTATGTTTACAGTCTCATGCTTAGATCGAACTTAGGGTTTGCTCAGGCTCATGTTTGAAACCTCTTCTTTATAATGATACACGTGTTTAGACCTTCCCATTTTAAGATGATGGGCATGCATACTGAATGGGAAGGTTCATCTGATTCAATTGCAGATTCTTGCATATCTCTTGATAGCAGCATCAACTGCAGCAGCAACCCGAGTTGTTGACTGGGAAACAAACCGGAATTATCTTTGAAGCTTGCTGGTCAGGACTGACTTGGTGTCATTTTAATCCCAATTTGGTCTCAATTTGGGTGTAAATTTATCGGATGGCTGAATTAGAGGTAATTTTGTCATGCGCACTATGTGAAATATCTTTTGCTTTCTTAAGTAACGGATGAATGTTATTTTGCATTACTGATGTTGCTTAGTTACTACTACTGTATATGTTACTGCTAGCATGCTGCCTATCCCAATCTGGACTCTTCCCGCTCGTTCTTTGGTGTTTATGATGGCCACGGAGGTAACGACATGCTTTTGGTATACTCTCAATTTCAATAACTTTTCTAAACTCTCCTTTTTTGGTCCACAAGATCGATTGTTACATCAGAGCTACAATTTTCCATCACTTGCAGGTAAGGTGGTTGCCAAGTTTTGTGCCAAATATCTTCACCAGCAGGTCTTGAAGGACGAGGCTTATTCAGCTGGAGACATTGGAACTTCTGTTCAGAAGGCATTTTTCAGGTTGCTGCTCATTGATATTTGAGTTTGAATGTGTTGTTGGTCATTCGTATGTCCACTTTCTCACCAGGTTAAGGTTTTTTGAGTTTTAGTATATGGTTACTGCTTGTGTGACTTTGATCTCTAGTGCAAGCATGCTTTGTTATGGATAGGGTGCAGAATATGTATGGCTAAATCATTTAGTTCCCGAAAGTTAACACGTGAAATGGAGGGCATAGTTGCTCGCTTAACTTTTTCTTTTTCTTAGCAGCTTTGTCTATTTTTTTTATGATTTAAGATGTAGGTCCTCAATGATCTGATTATAACCAAATAGGCGGTTCTTCCTTCGGTTACACGGCATCCTAATCTTTCATGTCATTCTTGTATTGTAAATAACAGTTTACAAGTCAAAAGACAAAATGGATTGCTGCTTCAAATGATAGAACTTCAATATTTAACTTTTTGTTGGCCTTGTTAAGTGTTTGTTAAATTTACGGATAGTCTAATATAAAAAAAACAATTGTATAAATTAGACCAAAATCTGAGTCAAGATATCGCAGTGCTGCCTCTTATATGTAAGTTGAGTGTGACATGTAATATGTAGAATGTGGACATAATTATGTCAAACGAACAATGGGGGAATAGAGTAGAAGGCAAAATTATTATAAAACAGAGTGTGGCGGTGTGAACACTCGACCTATACTCAAATATTCTGACCAAAAATGGGTTGAAAACTTCAATGCTTTTTCTGGAATAAATGTTCGATCATATTGTGTTTGGTTAGATGATGAAAGTTCACTAAGTATTGCTTCTGTACTACAGAAAATGTCTGATGAATCATATTATGGTGAGATCTGCAAGACAGAATTTGAATTTTAAGAGACTCTATCGGGATGATTAGTTTGGCTGCATATATTTTATCTAAGACAAACTCACGTGCATAGTTTTGTTGAAACATTATGGTTCAAAACTAGGATTGCTTGGTTTTGCTTTTGCATAATGGATGAGATGATGCGTGGCCAAAGAGGGTGGAGGGAGCTAGTTGTTCTTGGGGACAAAATAAACAAGTTCTCCGGTATGGTAGAAGGGCTTATATGGTCTCCAAAGGGCAGTGACGTTAACGGCCGGATTGATGATTGGGCTTTTGAGGATGTAGGTGCAGCAAGCCATACATCGAGAGTTTCCTCATTATCGTTGTAGTCCCAGCTGTTACTTAAATTTCTATTGATATTTCATAGCAGTGATACTGACATCGTCCTTTTGGCATTTTGTCAGGGGCCTCATTCTGATTTCTCTGGACCAACTTCTGGGAGGACAGCCTGTGTTGCAATTTTTAGAAACAACCAGCTTGTTGTCGCGAATGCTGGTGATTCTCGGTGTGTCATATCTAGGAAGGGTCGGGTAGGATTTTAAAGCCACAGCTCAAAATCTTTCTTGTATTTATTGGAAAAGGTCATCAAGCATTTGCAGGCCTTTTTTGAGTATCTATTATCTTGGATTGATTTATTAAAGATGATGTTTAACTTCTGCACCATGGATGACTAAGGACACCATATAACTTAAAATCTGCTGTGGTGGTCAAGATATTCTGATTGGTAGACGTAGTATGTCTCCTGTATATCTGGATAGAGGTAGTACAAGAACTGTAACATTCTATCTTGGATTCTCCTTGAAAAGGCATACAATCTTTCTCAAGACCATAAACCTGAATATGAGGCTGAAAAGGAGAGGATTATAAAAGCCGGGGGTTCATCCATGCCGGACGAGTTAATGGAAGTCTGAATCTTGCCAGGGCTATAGGTACTTCCTTCCTCCTTGGGATTTTTTATGTTACATGCTTATATTGTGAATATCACGTATTTGATTCTAGGTTCTATTCGTGTCTATTCATTTCTATTGTTTCGCATTGTTGGTGTGATTGGCAAATTTGACTCTTCGCATCGGCAGTGGAACTTATTATGCAGCATGTGGCATTGATAAACACCACTTTGCAATTTTAGTAATTTAAGCATACCATTTTCCACATATTGCAGGTGACGTGGAATTCAA